GCGTGTTTATTACCGTAGAACATGCATGACGTTATGTTCCACCTTCGCGCAGTTCTGCAGTTGAAAATAGTTGCAAAAGTCCAAATCCTTAAAATTAAGCTCGAAAAGTTTTAGATTTCATAACGACTTTATCATGAAAAGGAATGACAATTTTCAGTTGAATCCTTCAAACAGAATATAAGGACAACCTACACTGCACCTGAGACGAAATATTAGCATAAAGAAGGCATAGGAGGTCTTCCCACTGAGTAGACTAGAAAACCTGTCATACCTGGAATCCCTCATCAGTCTTAACCTCCAATATGGTATGTAAGATTTAAAGATCTCTAAATGAAACGGTAATGCAGTTTAAATTTGTTGTAGGAAATATTCACCTCTATTTGCTCATCATTATTCACTAGTGGGTGCTCAAAGATCTGATTTATATGTTCTTGACGGCTTAACATATTTCACAGTAATTCATAAGAATAATACTCTGCATTGAAGATACTGGACACTATTACTTTAATTCACACTTTTGGAAGAAGTTTTAGATAAAACTTCAGGTGAACATAGATAAAACAGAGGTGATGAAAATTCCTGGGCACCCCCACCAACAGCAACAGCAACAACTGACAACGATCAGCATAAATGGGAGGAACCTGAAAGAAACAACCTCTTTTACCTACCAACATGGGAAGCATCGTTTCAACTACAGGCGAACGGAACTGACGAGGATATCAAAGCAAGAATCGAAAAAGCAAGACAAGCTTTCACTACTCTCAAGTCTGTGTGGGGGTCGACAGCACTCAGCATCAAAAATAAGATCCGGATTTTCAACTCCAATGTGAAGGCAGTGCCACTATACGGATCAGAGACTTGCACTGCGCGTCGTAAAGAGCATCTCAAACAAACTACAGACTTTCATTAACAGTTGTCTTCGCTCAATACTCAAGATGAGATGGCCAGAAAAGATCAGCAACAGGGATGGATCTCTGGGAGCGAACCAACCAGGAACCGATTGTGAAACGAATAGCCAGGAAGAAATGGAGATGGATTGGCCATACACTGAAGAAACCATCAAGTGACATCACTAGACAAGCCATTGCTCGAGTGGAACCCGAAAGGAAAGCGGTGAGTTGGTCGTCAGTGCGAGGGTGACTTGGAGGAGGTCATGTGAAGAGGAGATGAAAACGTGTGGACAGACTTGGAGCCAGGTGAAGGCTCTAGCAGAGAACCGAACTCAATGGAGACGCACGGCTGAAGCCCTATGTTCCTCTAGGCATTAAAGGAAACAATAATAATAATCTTCTTTGTTTGGCACACAACTACAAAACAATGTTATGACTTACTTAAAGCTCATTATTTTACAAATAGGGCGTCACAATTAAACCTATGCGATGCAAAATATTTTCGAGGTAACGCATAGAGCAAATAAAAACTAGGAATCCCGGGCTTCTAATCCGATGGCTGAGTGACAAGTAATTTAACTTAGAACCTGATGGTTCACGGTTTGAATAGTTCATGTCGTTTACGATCTTCAAATTGAAGCGAAACAGTCCTCTGATACACCTTCGGCTTTAATTATACCATAACCCATGTTTGTCAGTGATGTTATCTAGCATACACTGCGGCTAAATGAACAGAGGGATATTAATATTCGTTGGCAAAAAACTAATTTCCCTGCTTTCATTATTGACTGATAATTCTACGCTATTGATACCCATCCCAGTAACCTGTTGTAAGAGACGAATTCTTCAATAATTTTACTGAAACTGACAACTGCGGCGAAAAGCGAATCCAATTCACGCAAAAATATAATTTATTCAGCTACATCAAAAACAGACAAAAATATGTAAGTCTGTCACATATGTCGCACTTAAATATTCCAACTTTTGACTTTATTACCAAAATATAAAAAATATTATAGTGAAGTAGTTAGAAAGCTGTCTTTTCCTAGCCATACAGGTGCACACGTCGGGTCTTATACCTAATCCTTACCTGCAGTAAATATGTGAGGATGTAGTCAAAACTGATCAGTTATCAATACTTCTTATTCACTAGAGATCAAATATCTTGAACAAAGCAAGAACAGCAATTGTACCAGGATAATATGAGCTCATCTTTTATTATTTCGAGGATTCTTCTCAACTGGTTACAACCTGAACGATGAAAAATATGAATTACATTACATTAAAGATTTGAACATACTTTTCCACGATCACAAGGAGTAATTGGTAGGAAGTTAAAGTAACATTAGTCTGGAATGATTAAACTAAGTTACAATTACTGACTATTTATAGAATAATTCAAATGAACTGTGGTCAATATTTGACAGTTTATAAATATTTATAGAATAATTAGGCAATTAGGCTTGGAAACAAAAACAAGCTGCTGTATATTTTGTTGTCACCAGGGAAGTGCAAGATTCACCACTGTCTCTTTCTGCGTACATAGATTTGGTTTAAGTCGTCTGATAGAAACTGCTTCAGCAAAGCGTAGCAATTTAGTTTTCTTTTGCTTGTTGATTATTTTGAATGACTTCAAGTTGTCTACATTATGACCGGTGTCTAATAGATGACGCGCAATTGCACTGTCTAATACTTGTGGACCTTTCAGTCTCAGGTTCTTTAGTATGTGTTCAGAAATGCGGACAATAACCCTTCTCCCTATTCTTCCGATGTATGTGCTTTGGCACGTACATGTAAATTGGTAGACACAGTTGGAGGTAACATGAGGTGGGTATTTGTCCACTTTTGATTGTCTCAAACAACTAGTTGTTTGATAAACACATACAAGCTTGGCGGCTGGATATGTTCTTTTCAGGGCAGCGTTCAGTCTGCATCTTATTCTACTGGCAGTATCATCACCTTTGAATGCAAGCTGCAGAAAGATAGGCTTTTTCTCTACTGTGCTGCTTTTCACTTTTTCAACATGACGTCTCCCATACTTGTCAATGAACTTTTGTGGATAGCTCTTCCTCAATCTTCTGGAAAACAGATGTTTTGTCTTAAAATGATATACTTGTTTTGCATATTTTGAACCCGTCGTTTCTCAAAGATTGAAGCGTTTGCCTCAACAATTTACTGTGAATATGTGGTTCTCTGAACCTTGTCAAACACTGAACAGCTAAAAAAAATATTGTTGGTTTATCAATACAACAGTCGTTACTACCAAATTTAACATGCCAGTAGAGGGGAAAGTAAAGAGTTACCTTATTTTGGAATAAGGAAATCCAGGTAATATAGGAAATATGTCCGATTAAATTGCATACCCGCTTAGCAATTTATATTTTGGATGGTTAATAAAGTGCTATCGACTCCAGATTTAAAGCATACGCATTCCCTGGTTTGAACATTTTGATTTCAGCAAGTCCAGGCAGATTACTCATAAAATCAGACCAAAAGGACAAGATGGACTATATGGTGGTTAAATCATTTTTATCAGCATAAAAACATTTCTGGGTGGTGTTTTTCAATCATTCATATTAATCAATCATATACATATATATACATCATATGGCATTTATGTTTACTTTTCATTTACACTTTCAAGCGGGTCACATATAATAACCTGGACATTTAGGGTTTTTAACAAAACATTTGATGAGATTTCACTTCAAAACATCTACTTCGCAGATAATTAACGACATTCTACACTTACAAAAACTTTGAATCGAATAAAGGTTTTAAATCTCATTATTTGACCAGAAACTTAAATAGAAAATTTCAGATAAATTTTGACTGCAAGAATTGCCATAAAATGCTTCATAGCACTGAATGATTATTCATCACGCGATGTTCAGATGGCTTGATTTTAATGAAGGATTTAAAGTGGTTAAAAATAAATGAATACACTCAGTATTTGTGATGAGGATTGGATTTAAATATTGTTATTACTTAGTTGTTATATTCACATTTCCTCGAGGACATTTCAAGGACATCATTAATGAGGATCATGTTTTGCTATGACCAACACCAAAACTTTTTATCCAGATCAATCTCAATTTTGCTGACATTACTCGTCGAAAAGCGATGGCTCGTGATGGTTAACACATGTCCTAGCCAACTCAAAGAACACACGGACGTGGGAATGACTTAGAGTCCATCAAAATACATCTGAAAACTGAATATTTTATTTTTTTTTTTGTTTACAGCTTGATGCCACACCGTATTTTCAGTACAAGTATGGCATTTTCAGCATGGATATCGGTAGCCCAAATTTTACAGGCCGACCATAGATATCGGGTGTGCGTCGGCAGGTAATCGAACCCCGGACCATGTGCATGGTCGGCGGGAGTCCTAACCACTGTGCTACCGATGCACAGGTTGCTTTACTTTTAACCACAGCGTAGGGGGTTTCTTGACTCGGAAATTAACTGGATAAAGTCTACCTGCAAAAACTCTATGCGCTAAGGATTTAAGGTGTCTCATAAGTAAAGATTATAATCCCAAAATTAATTTTTGTCACTTTCCTAACGAACTGACCATTAACTAAGACTTACAGACACTCCTTGTTACGTGTTGGCTACAGCAGCAGTTTCCTGCGCTTCTAACCTTATTACGACTTTTGTATGAGTTATAGCTAAATTCTAAAGTTCTTAAGATCTAACTGTTACCAACTGTCTAGCAGGAATTAAATGCAATGAGCTTTTTGGATAAATGAAATTAACTCGATTATGGACTTCACATATCATTGCGTTACAACGAAAACCTGTTGATTTTTCCCCTAGATAAATTATTAAACAGTCGTTGTACGATTTGTTGACATATATTTCTATCAGTCTCACTTTTATAATTATTAGTAAGTGATATTCACTCAACGATAGCAGCCGACACTATATTTTCTGAAATATGATCGTCAGTCATCCATGTTCTCGTTGATAATGCTACCATTTCGGTATATCGCTTTAGAAAACATCACTCGCAAGGACTTCAGAAGGCTTGACAAAAAAAAGGAACGAATTCGGTAACTCAAAATGGTGAACACAATATCTGTACAATTATGACATATATATATATTTATTTACAAAGATGTGTCACTGAATTAAAATACCATATAGCAACCTATTTAAAAGAAAACAGATTGAGCGTGAATTATATAAAATAAGGAAAAGACAACATTTTTGTAGGTGTTTTGTCATGTTGTTTTTTTAAATTTACGTTATGCCTGTTAACTGTTTGTTAAAACACGATTTCTTCAACGTTACATTTTGATTAACATGCATTAAAATTTGGTGTTTATACACAGAGAAACGAAGAGACTGAGGATTACTAAAACATGAAACCAATTAGTTAGGCTAAATCAAAAAATCGTCCAATGTCATCGTTACCATCTTCATTTGGACTTTCGTGAAGTTTTTCTTTGGATGTGTTAGCATCATTCCGTTGTAGTGCCTAGCAAAAACACAAATAAATATGTATCACAGAGTAAAACGAAGCAAGATTTTATTTCACGTAGTTTGATTCATACAAAAGTGATGAGAATTTTGTAAACAAAAAATGCATAATATGGGTAACCGTAAATATTTTCGTTCCACATATGTCTAAAACAGGAAGAAGGTGTCTCTTTTAAACATATCAAGTCATGTTCGTTTTACTCTAACCTTGCAATGCTTATATGAGAAGTAAAAAGACAGTTGCAGAAAAAATTTTTGTCTTTTCGATGAAGTGATCAGCTAGATTTTACATCTGTGAATGTACAGCAAAGAGGTGAGAAAGTTTCAGAACTCTTTCCGGTCAGTGATCAAAATATAAAGAATAACAAGATGAAGTTACTCAATGCAAAAAGAAATTAAAAACAATAATAAAAATAAACAAAAAGTCCGGATTAAAAACGTAACTAGATATTAATGATTTTCTTGAGAAAATAGACTGTTCATGATAAGCATGGTAATGACAGAGGTTGAATTTACTTTTTTTTGGATACGCAGCATTGAACTAAATTTCACACGGAGATCGAACGGTCTACTGCAGCAAAGTGTGTTTTATTGAGAGATTTTGAAAGCAACCTTCAGAGAATGTCTGCCTTACTTGTCCAAGAGCCTTGTTTAGTTTTAGGTTTTTGTCTAGGAATCTGGGTCTGAAGTGATTTTCTGTCAAAATTCTGTGGAAGTTTTGCAGCGCTTTGTCGATGGAATTTTTGGTGCATATTTTCCTGATCCCTAAGGAAAGCAAATGGATGAGATTCCTCTTCCTGTTTAGAAAGACAGTACTTTGAAAAATGATAAACTGTACGTACCCTGTAGGCTGTTTATAAATAGATCTACTTAGTAAGTTATCATCTTTTCTTGGCAGTTGAAAAACAGTGAAATGGAACGTTGAATTGGATTCTAACTACAGAGTCAAGCAGATATCTGAGTGGGATTTACCGAAGTTTGGGAGCAAGTTTTAGAGGTTCAACTTGTCATCAAAAACAATGAAACCATGACTGATGTATCTCCTATTGAGATGAAGCTTATTGATGGTTGCAGATAAGACAATTTCCTTGTGGCTTGCTATAAAAGTCAGTTAAAAAGGGTTCTGCCGAAGAACCGATTGCTACGCCATCTATTTCGTTGTAGAACCTGAAGTATACGTTGACAATACGTCGCAGTAAGAGGTTTTTTAGGTAGTGAATCAGTTTGATTGGATGAAATCACAAATAAAAACAGATAATTTGTGTTAGTGGAATTTTGATGAAAAGAGAAACGACGTCTAATAAAACCATTCTTTTATACACCGCTATGACATTTTAGTTGAATCTGCAAAATCAGAAGTGTGTTGGAGATTGGATCTCGATAACTCCTATGTACTATACTATATATATCCTATATATATATATATATATATATATATATATATATACTAACCACATCCTAATTGAATGATATGGAGACATTTTTATATCCCATATTGGGTGAAATGAAACATCGTATCTGTGTTCCTTAGGTGAGTCCTACTTGCACGGTGTTGTAGAATGAGATAGAAAAAGTCGTCTATAGTTTCTTGCAGGAAGATGTTATTTGCAGGCTGGCAGAGTCTCTGTATAATCTCTAATATGCCGATTTCAATATTAATATTTTCTAAATTACTTTTACGATCAATTGATATGTCTTGTTTCTATTGCTTTATTTAAAGAAGTAGACTATATTTTACTTCGCGAAATAATTCCCATGATTGCAGCATTCCCAGACATTTTTTTTTCAAAATGCAGCTTTTATTTGATTATAATCTAGTGCTACTGGATTTTATTAATGAAAGTGAGACTTAATGCAACATTATATAGAAACGTTATCTTAAGGGTGAATACCTTACCACCTCATCTCCCATATTTCTGAAAATTACATGAACTAAAGGAAAGACTAAATGCATTTCAACACTAGTAACTGCTATAAATAGATACTTTTAGGAAGTCAATATAAATAATTACAGATTTATTAGGGCAAACTGACAGGCTAGTATTTAGACTTTAACCATGACTGCATCTTCAAATAACGGCAAATATTCACAAAATACTTAATATATGAAATAATTCGACAAGAAATTACTCTGTTTAGCTGAAATAAATATCATGAACGGTAACGTATTCTACATTATGCTGCCTGAGTTCATGGTTCTCTCAAAGTAGGATGAAACATCATTACCATGGAACCTGACTTACAACAGTTTGTTATTTGGTGCTAATTCGTGGTGAAATATCCTCTATAATTTGATGCAAAACTTACATATCAGCTGTTTTATCCCACGAAACTCTGTTACTTCTGACTGCACTACTTATAATTCCTTCCTACTTCTTTCTCTTATTTTCCACCTGATGTACACATTTGAAATGTGACATTTTGTATGGCCGCAAAGTAATACTAGTTTCTACGTAGACAAGTGAGAGGTAACTTTGATTTGACTAAATTAATCAGCTGGCAACACAAGTGTGTGGAAACATTTATGTCAGCAGTCATAATCTTCGGGAAGATTAGATATTGACATATCCAAATGGTACCATTAAAAAGCAAATTTAGACAACTGGTGAACAGAAAGAAAGCTGACAACAAGAATGACTACTATCTGTACGTCCAATTAAACTGAGGAACCGATGGATAGTTGATATATTTCACAATTAGTTTCCAAGTCAAAATCAATCATTACCTATAATGCCATCGAAGCCATGTGCTTTAGTTACCTAGTGATACACTAATTTCAGATCATTAGTCTGAAGTTGGGTTATAGACATTTTCTAAGCAGTTGACAAAATAAAATTCTTGGTGCCTGATAGATAATGTTACAAAACACTAAAATTATGCTTAATAACATTTATCGGGTAGCTAGTGTTCACTTGACCTCTGAGTGGACAACTAACCTAAGAAAGAAATATAAATGCTCATTGAAAGTCAAATATGAACTTTTTTTTAATCGCGACGGAACTCAACATTGATCTAAACCGTTACTTACATGTGTATTGACCAGATTAATTTCAGTGGTTTGTCTGCTTTGTTCTTCAACATTCTGTTTCGCTTCAGTTTGATTTATTTCTTGCCTCTTGCCACCACTATTGTTCCTGTCACTGTTTTGCAATTTATTCGTATTCGAATTCTCTCTGTTCTCCTTAACAATTATATTTTCCGATGTTTCGTTTTGAAGGGTTACTGCATCATATCTAGGGTCTTGATTATGTTTGCTCTGTTCATTGTTGTTTCTAATAAAGCAAGAAAGAAGGCAAAGCAGCGAAAATGGATGATGCAACTTGACGAAAACAAACAAACAGACAAATAAGCACACGTTAACATACTTCTTACGGTAGAAAGACATTGAAAATGGTTAGTCAGCAAGTGTTATACTACGTATAAGATATTCAGCTAGAGGATTTGTGGTTTCTGTAACTAATTTCAATGGTAATGATATTATAACACAATATTACATAATATAGTAGAAAAATATCATGGCAAGAGCCCGTATCTATGGACAGATTACCTTCTTGACTAACTTATGATGTCTTAGAGTTCAGGACAATGAGTAATCCAGTTAGCCTTTTACAACTCTTAAAATTTGGTAAAATGAAATGAATAAAAACAGAAGGTAAAGCTGAAGGAATAGAAGTGTAATGATTGTGGAAGAAATATCGGGAGACCAGTGTTCATTATCTGGAGGACGACAAATTTTCAGTAGATCTACACTATTTCCCCTTGAAGAGACAGACTTATGAATGTCGTGATAGCACTTAGTAAGACCGAATTCGCTTACTTATATAAGCTTTGTGGCAACCTGTGTAACAGTGTAACCTACTCCTTCCAACACTATCCGTTGGTGTGTTTGCAGCTACTGATCAAGGACGAAAATGAACACATCCCAAAACAGCTGCAAAATGCTTTACATAATCTAAAAATTTCCATTCAAATTACAGAGCAGACAGCAAAAGCTTCAGTACTAACGCATAGATAAACACATTTTTGAAAGTTATTTCTTTTTATAGTAATAAGAACATTTGAGTACATCAGACAATGCCAAAAACTTATGCCTTCTATATATTTAACAAGTGACTACTGAAGTCAGTAATGAGTAAGCGCGACTGTCTTTATAAATATCTGTATAGAAATTGTGTGTCATTTCAAGGAACATTTTCAAGTTTTAGGTAGAAATATTCAACACTTGTGGAAAAAAAATCTATTATGTTAGATATTCAAGTCACCAAAAAAGCAAACGAACTTTTCTGTTTGACACCCATCTTCTTTTACAGGCTTTTTCTGATGCTTCTGGAGCTCAGCTTCTTGCTCTTTCATCTTCTTTCTGATTGAAAAGTGATATAAAGTAATGTCATTGTTAGATGTACTGTTTAGGACTAAATTTTTCAAGCCAAATTATAGAACAGATACGTATATAAATGCAGACCTCCTGAAGTTCACCAGACATTTGTGTGACATCGTCAGTAACCAAAGAACCTGCCCCGTCATATTTGGGTTTTAGCATAAGAAGCGCCAACAGAATTTCTTAAGACTTAACGGACAAGACTTTTCCACTATTTAAGTCCAAGACACTTCTCAAAACTCTGAGTTCGCATTGAAACATGTTTGTTTTTTCCTTCACGTTCCCCAGTGGAACATAGGGCTTCAAGCTAGTGGCTTGAAGTTTCTGTAGCAGTGTTTATTTTACAGGATGGGGTTGCTAGCCTCATGCCTAACCTTTCCTCTTCACCAGCATTATTTCTGGTTCAGTGAGGTAAAGGAGTGCGTCGGCAGAGGATCGAACCCCGGACCATGTGCATGGTCGGCGAGCGTCCTAACCGCTATACCACCGACGCACGAAACATGTTTAACTTTGAGTAAATACATAGTCTTGTAACTATATCTAAGTAGATCATGCACTTTGTGAACTTTATGCACTTGAAGCTTCATAAATTAGTACTGTATTGAAAATACATAAGTGAGATGTATATCTTCCATCGGTGTTTAGTTTCCATAATTCAATAAAAACTGGAGTTTAGGTATAGTTTTAAATGACCTTCATTAGATGACGTCAACAAGAAAGTGACCAAACGTTTTATCTGTTTCTCAGTAAAAGAGTCATTTTCGTTTGCAATATGCTAAAATTAATGTATTATTGATGAACAAGAAGGATTTCAAACTTTTGGAACATAGATAAACACAACAGTTTTCACACTTAGTAATACCTTCACTAAATTACCGTTTTACCCCTTGAATTCACCACAAATTAACATTCCGGCGAATGAAAAAAAATATTTATTTGTTACACTCTAGTAGTCCCATAGGAGTTCATAATCCAGCATAAACTGTGGTTATATAACATTGATTATGTGTGCACACCACAGTAAGTACAATGGATACAAGCTAGTGATCCAAGAGTTGGAAGTGAAATTCCCAGACTATTAAGTTGAACGTATATATATATATTATTTTTTTATTTTAATTTACAGCTTGATTCCACACCGTATTTTCAGTACAAGTATGGAATTTTCAGCATGGATATCGGTTGCCCAAATTCAGGCATACCATAGATATCGGGTGTGCGCCGGCAGGGGATCGAACCCCGGACCATGTGCATGGTCGGCGAGAGTCCTAACCACTGTGCCACCGACGCACATTATATATAAGATAAATTTCTCTAGATCGTATGTGTATGGGGAAGTATTTAGTATCTAATACTACAATGAAACTGATCCAGCCTACTCAGTTAACAAATACTTCATCTGGGGCAATGTAAATAGTCTCTTCTGAAATCAGTATGATTTAAAAATTCACTAAATCTCATATTCACAACTTACTGCATTACTTCATACTGGCTCTTTAGTTTTTCATTCGCGTCTGATAAGGTTTTATTTAACTGCTGTAAATTTACTATTTGAGTTTTTGCAGAGGCCAATTCTTCTACTGTTTTCTCATCTTGTCGAACAATAACTGATACTTTTGGCGTTTCATTTTTCACCTTTTCAGATACTAATAAAAAGTTAGATATTTTAATTATCCTCAGACATTAGATTTCCTTAAATGAAATTAACTTCATCACAAAAATCATCATCTAGTTATTATATTCTTGTGGATACTTCTTCATTATTAGCAGCAACGTAGACATTGGAAGCTAGGAAGTAGTAAATAGAAGCTTCATCCTAGCCGCAGTCAGACTATGCATAGAAAATTCATTTGTTTGCCAAATGAATTTCAGTGACCATAACTTTCTACATCAAGCAGTTTCTGTTAGACAGTCGTTTGAAGAAAGACTAGTTATGGGTAGTTGTAATAACTTTCAGACTGCTGCATTCAGAAGACATGTAAGTTGAAAATAACTTTATGATAAGTTAGTAATAATTAGAGGAATTTTGACTTCGTAAAATCACTATAGATAAGATTTTATTTTGATAAATCGCACAGTGCTATCTATTATGAAGTTATACTCTACCACATTGCCCAATTTTTATACTTATATCAATAAGATAAAACTTCCCTGAATATTTGCAAATAATTTTCAACCTTATTCGATTATAACTACTGCGAAGATACTAAATGGTAAATGTTAATGAGCTTTACTTAACCTATAATTATTAGATGAAGATTACTGAGGGTTTCAAGAATCTAAAAATGACAAGAATTTAATACGTCTGAGCCATTACAAGTATTAACTTATTTCACCAACATTCTCCATTTGTAATGCATACGTAAGTCAGTTGAACCGCCTCTCAAAATATTCTCCCCGACATTTCAGCAGTCTCTACTAAAAGGTTATTAAAGTTTTATCTTTCTCGGAGACCATTCCACTAATTACGAGTCTTCCTAATGAGCTTATACAGTTGACCTAATTCTAATGCCCTTTCCATTTCCTTAGCTTTCGTCGTTTACTTCTGTTTGCAATCATTTTGAAGACCTTAAGTCAGCTTACATTTGAGCAGCATTCGCTCCCTGTCATATTAACGGCCTGACAAAATGAGCCTTCTTTTATCATTCCATTATGGGTAAATTTTATTTTGATAGAGTCTCACAGTGTTATACAGTAATATTTACTGATGACGTTTCGAGCACAATTTATTGCTCATAATCATATCAAGTTAATCACACGACTTCCTAAATTCATTTATATAGTTCCATTGTTTTTCACTTGATTTTCACTTGATTTGATTGGTAGTATTATTTTCCATATCTCGGGTATGAGTGATGATTCATTCCTATTGCATGTGTTGGGTGTAGATTCGATGAACAAAGATTCAGTAATCAACCTCTCTCTCCACCTACCTAGATTACTTTTTAGAATTTTAACCCCCTCCCACCCTATTGTGTGGTTGTGTGTTAATGCATGCATTGCAATTGCCGAGCTTTTTTCTAAATTACTTATCTTCTCTGGGTCAACCATTCTTACCTTAGCTAAATTCTTATGTTCTGACAATCTGACTACCCCTGACCTACTAGTTTGACCTATGTAGTTGACCTCACAGTCATTGCAGGGTATTTTGTAAATTATATTATTTTGTCTAATTGGGTCCACTGGGTCCTTTAACCTACAGAGCTTGTCCCTGAGTGAGTTTGTAGGTTTAAATGCCACCCTAATTCCTGCTTTATTTAGAATCCTACGTAGGGTCTCAGATGTCCCCTCTTTATATGGTATAACTGTAGATGACTTATATTCTCTCTTATTTATGTTATTATTACTAGTTTCACAATTATTTTTCTTTTTCTTTTGGCGTTTTTGAATCTTCCTAATGAATTTTAGAGGATAGTTATTTAGAACCAACGCCTCTTCTATCTGTTTTATTTCATCATTTAGGTCTTTTTTTGCGCTACTTAGTGCCATTGCTCGGTTTGTTAAACACTTAACTAAGCCTGCCTTAACAGTTAAAGGATGAGATGAATTAAAGTCTAAATATCTATTAGAGTGCGTTGGTTTTCTATAAACACTAGTGTGTAGTTTACCTTCTTCTATTCGTTTTATTTTACAATCTAACATAGCTAATTCTCCGTGCTCATTTTCGGTTTCAAATGTGAATTTTATTCCCTCCACTAGTGAGTTTATGTGTGTCAAGAAGCTAGAGATATGTTCTGTTTTTAACACTGTGAAAGTGTCATCCACATATCTCCACCATATTTTTGGAGTAGGATTAAACGTATTAAGTGCCATATTTTCCCAGCTATCCATAAATATATCTGCTACGATAGGGGATATTGGTGATCCCATTGCTACATCTTCAGTTTGTCTATATATCTTGCCTTGGAATCTAAAGATAGTAGATGTGAGGCATAGCTGAACCCCTAAAATAATTTCTTCAATGGACAGCTTTGTCCTATGATTGAGTTCAGTATCCGCAGTTAGTTCCTTTTTAACTGCTTCTAAGGCCATATTAACTGGTATATTAGTATAAAGACTGGTTATATCAAAACTAACCATTGTTTCATCATTATCTAGTTGTATGTCATTTAGTTTATTTTTCATTTCATATGAATTAGTTAGTCTAGAATTTGAACGATTTCTAATGGGGCATAATATTAGAGCTAAATGTTTTGATAATTCATATGTAGGGGTATTTCTAAAATCCATAAGACCAATAGTAGATTTTAGAAATACCCCTACATATGAATTATCAAAACATTTAGCTCTAATATTATGCCCCATTAGAAATCGTTCAAATTCTAGACTAACTAATTCATATGAAATGAAAAATAAACTAAATGACATACAACTAGATAATGATGAAACAATGGTTAGTTTTGATATAACCAGTCTTTATACTAATATACCAGTCAATATGGCCTTAGAAGCAGTTAAAAAAGAACTAACTGCGGATACTGAACTCAATCATAGGACAAAGCTGTCCATTGAAGAAATTATTTTAGGGGTTCAGCTATGCCTCACATCTACTATCTTTAGATTCCAAGGCAAAATATATAGACAAACTGAAGGTGTAGCAATGGGATCACCAATATCCCCTATCGTAGCAGATATATTTATGGATAGCTGGGAAAATATGGCACTTAATACGTTTAATCCTACTCCAAAAATATGGTGGAGATATGTGGATGACACTTTCACAGTGTTAAAAACAGAACATATCTCTAGCTTCTTGACACACATAAACTCACTAGTGGAGGGAATAAAATTCACATTTGAAACCGAAAATGAGCACGGAGAATTAGCTATGTTAGATTGTAAAATAAAACGAATAGAAGAAGGTAAACTACACACTAGTGTTTATAGAAAACCAACGCATTCTAATAGATATTTAGACTTTAATTCATCTCATCCTTTAACTGTTAAGGCAGGCTTAGTTAAGTGTTTAACAAACCGAGCAATGGCACTAAGTAGCACAAAAAAAGACCTAAATGATGAAATAAAACAGATAGAAGAGGCGTTGGTTCTAAATAACTATCCTCTAAAATTCATTAGGAAGATTGAAAAACGCCAAAAGAAAAAGAAAAATAATTGTGAAACTAGTAATAATAACATAAATAAGAGAGAATATAAGTCATCTACAGTTATACCATATAAAGAGGGGACATCTGAGACCCTACGTAGGATTCTAAATAAAGCAGGAATTAGGGTGGCATTTAAACCTACAAACTCACTCAGGGACAAGCTCTGTAGGTTAAAGGACCCAGTGGACCCAATTAGACAAAATAATATAATTTACAAAATACCCTGCAATGACTGTGAGGTCAACTACATAGGTCAAACTAGTAGGTCAGGGGTAGTCAGATTGTCAGAACATAAGAATTTAGCTAAGGTAAGAATGGTTGACCCAGAGAAGATAAGTAATTTAGAAAAAAGCTCGGCAATTGCAATGCATGCATTAACACACAACCACACAATAGGGTGGGAGAGGGTTAAAATTCTAAAAAGTAATCTAGGTAGGTGGAGAGAGAGGTTGATTACTGAATCTTTGTTCATCGAATCTACACCCAACACATGCAATAGGAATGAATCATCACTCATACCCGAGATATGGAAAATAATACTACCAATCAAATCAAGTGAAAATCAAGTGAAAAACAATGGAACTATATAAATGAATTTAGGAAGTCGTGTGATTAACTTGATATGATTATGAGCAATAAATTGTGCTCGAAACGTCATCAGTAAATATTACTGTATAACACTGTGAGACTCTATCAAAATAAAATTTACCCATAATGGAATTACACTCTACCACAGTGCCGAAGTTCTATCCTTCTTTTATCAATCAGTTTGCATAAAACCGTAAAATCGGTTGTTTTGTACTGACCTTTGTTTCTATAGCAAACTGAGTATGATGCAAGGCCACCTCAGGACGAGTACTGATGCAGTTATCTGGTTTGTAAATACAGATCTCGTGTTCTCATCAAGGGTTCAGACTTTGCAGTCCATTTAGTCACTGGTGTAATCACATACAAACCATTTTATGATCAGAGTCCCCTGATTCCCTCATTCTATAACTTATATCTGAGTGGCCTACTTGTGTCTATCATCGGTCTGATTTAAGCAGTAAGACAATGTCTCTTCGTGCTTGGATTTAATCCCTGCGAGAAAGACATTTATCTGAAGAGAACTGTGAGACACTATCACTGCTGTCGTTTCGTCGAGATAGAACAGCGTCAATATACTTTCCGAATAATTCAGCTTCCCCACTTGAACATGAAAATCAACTGTTAAAATAACTATACCTGAGTATTTTGATAAAACTCATTCTTTACTTTGTCCAAGCTGCAGTCAGCTTTTGTGTAAGATCAGATTACGAGGAAAAATCGAAGAGTATTCTACCTCTCGCAGATCAATTTAACCGGATACTACGTATACAGCTGAGATTTTGTTGAATAAACAGTCTCATTGTGTCAAGCCTAGGAAGTGACTAGGATTACTGTTTTACTGACTCAAGTCACTAGAAATCGCTACCTAGTTTAGAGAAGGTAAAGCAACCGTCTGGGGGAATAGTGTTAGTGAAATAAGATCAAGGGGATGAAGGCGAGCATTGTACAGAGAAATTTTGCGTGCATGTAGGTGCGTGAATGGTTACTACATCCCAGATGCTCATATCAAAGTTGATTTCTCCACGAATTTATTTAAAATAGGAAAAACATTATTGCTGCAAGACCGCATAATCTAGGAGGTAATTGCTCTAGGCCGGTCTCATCAAGGCAGGTTACTCATCTGATTATATTGTCAAAAGTGGTATTAATAATTATCCTTCTTGTTTTTAAATCCTTTATTATTTCGTATGTTTTAACTGGCCACTTATTCTCTTCATTTTTATATAAACTAAACTGACAAGTAATTGTTTGGTCAGATTGTTCGAAATGTATTTCGTAAATACATTATATCTTTCAAGTAACTCCGTCTTCTAATAATATAATTCAAAATTATTAAAAGGAATTACAGTTTTAAACTTTTGAACTTCGTAAAGCCATTATAACACCTATAAATCCTGTTTTTCTCTTCTTCTATCTGACGTTTAAAGTTGGGAAATTATTATGCGAGAGCGTTATACAAAAAAAAACAACTGATTTAATGCTGGATTAAATGCGGGAACAAAAGTCAACCTACCAGTACTTTCAATAATAGTTGCAACCAAATGACCATCTGAAGATTTTGTGCATTTTCCGATCTTTTGAGATTAAAATATAAAAAAGCATAGATAATAAGTGCAGCTCAGACATACCTGAGAGCTGTGCTCATCATCTTCAGGTGCACGATAAGGATCTGGAACCGAAAATCAAAAATGTTATTTATGAGTAAAATATCAGTAGGTGAATTCCCCTTTCAAGTAGAATCTAATCATTAAATAAATGAGTCCAGAGACTCAAAGACAAATGAGATGCTCAAGTGCTTCATTTATTCTGACTGGTAAGAATTAAAAAGATTTCACAACACAAGTCTTATGTAGTGTGGTTTCAAAGGCATTGACGATAAAAAGGCTTTTTACTGTATCAGGCAATCAGCATCATAAAGTTATCGCATGTCTAGCTCATGACTGCCTGAGGAAGTTAGCAACCTCTTAGTTGCCAAAAATTTCAGAAACTATGAGTCCTTTTATTAGCATGCTATTAAACATTCATCATGAAGCTGAAAGGATAAAAACAGAAAAGAAGCCTGTCTTACAATCTTCGGTCATTCCGGTTCTTAGTATACAGTAGCGGAGGTGAATAAAAAGTCGAAAAATGTCAGGTGAAGACAAGCAAATGTAGAGTAATAGATTTTAAATCTGGAAGAAAAGAGATCCTGAATATATCACCATTTTGCATTACATAAATCACTGGAGTTCCAGTGAATAAATCGTTAGGTTCTTGTCCCATATCACCAGTGAATTCTTCAACTGGCTACACTTTAAGTCTTTACAATAAACTCCTCACCTGAACTAAACATTCAGATAGCCGAAACTTGTTTCATTTATATATACATATATATATATATCCATTAAATGTCAGAAATTAAAAAGTGGAAAATCTACACAGCCTAATTTAAACTCACTGATATCTTCCTTCAAGTCGTTTGATGATAAACATTTGTATAATTTCTGAATTTTGCCGACTAAACAGTGATTCTTTGCTATTAATTCCTGCTTCTGCTGATCTAGTTCTTTGATCACTTTTCCCAGTGTTCGTATTTGAGTATTCACTTCGTTGTTTTCAGAGGTAGAACTCCTTCTTCTTGGTTTTGTGAATGGTTTCTCTTTCACTTGACACTGTTCTGATGACAGAATATGGATCTTCTCTTTTAACCGTCTGATTTCTGTGTATGCAGTCTCAAGTTGTATTCTCAACTCTTCAGTTCGTGTGAATTTCATGTCCGTTACCAAACGACTTCGAAAAAAGCATGAAACCAATATAAGAAAAAGAAGTAAATAGCGAAGAAAATTTTCTTTTTGACGATTCATTTTCATGAGATAATAAAAAGAAGCTAAATTATAGTAAGAACTTTACTCTGGCCACGGTATGGTGAGTGAATTCATGTAACGCTTTTGAATGCAGAGGTCCGGTTTCAGTTCCCGAATAGCTAATGCTTCAGTTATGTACAGATGGCGTATGCGAAGTCCCTTTGTACGATACTGAGGGACTCTGTGTAGCGATATAACAATACAGAACTTTGGAACAGGCTAGTGCCTCCAACTAGACTTCTATGAAATCAAGTCATCTATTGGTGATATTCATCAGTTAACTATATTTGATAGAGAGGTTTGAAATGGTGTGGTTTAGTTAAACTGCTTTATCCCGATACAATACGCTTGGCCTGATTCAGTAATAGTCAGAAGCTGACCAAAATGTTAGCTGCTTCCTTACTAACAACGGGTTTCATAGTATGAAGTTGTCACATATTCGTTGATCTTATCTTTTCACGAATTCACGTTTAATTTGCTTATTTTTTTTAGAGAACTGCTTGTTATTTCTACATTTGGAGATGCATATTTATAGGACACACTTTATGCTTCCGCTTCAAGCAGTTCCATAGAAGCAAGTAGATAGTCTCAAAGAGGCAGTTCATCCTTTACACAAATAGAGACATTGTGTAACCTGGCGACCTCCATCACCAAATCAACGCTAGACTCAGATAGACCACATAGCGATAGGGTATCCTTGGCGAGGGACAGTAGAAGACTGTCGCTCCTTCTGGAACACGTGCGTAGACTCTGATCACGCTCTGGTTCGCGCACGTTTGTGCTTACGACTAAATGGACATAAGAAATTGACGGCAACGAAACAGTTACGTCCCCAACTAGATCGTGACACTGAGTCCTTATTTAAAGAAGAAATGGCGAAACGAGTTTCTGAGGTCGACAGCAGGACTTCCCCCAAGGTAGCCTGGCACAACATACAGTTAGCTGTGGACACAGCTGTGAAAGCTGTTAATAAGCTAAAACCTAAAGTTAATAAAAGCCATTGGATCTCTACCACCTCACTCAAACTGATTGACGCAAGAAGACTGATTCTAGAGAGCTCCGATTATGATGAGGAGCGAAAGGTACTTAAACGAAGACTAACAAAAAGTCTTCGCAACGACCGTGAACAGTGGTGGGCGACAAAAGAGAAAGAGATGGAAAAGGCATCGGCGATTGGCAACACCAGACAACTATTCAGACTTATCAGGGAAACAGGTGGCAAAACGCAAATGATAAGGGAAACAGTCTCTGAGAAAAATGGCACCATAATTAGCTCCCAGGATAGACAACTGGAACGCTGGAAAGAACACTAAGAGGAGCAATTCAATTGGCCTGCAGCCATACTTAACCTGCCGAACATCCAACACCTCCCTGAATGGGATATAGACACAAGTCCTCCGTCCTTAACTGAGGTTACTAAAGCTGTCACTAATCTGAAGTAAGGCAAAGCAGCGGGACCTGATGGATTGACTACAGAGGTATTGAAGTACGGTGGAGACAGTTTACTGTCTGCATTAACTGAGGTTCTAGGTAGCGCCTGGGAATCAGAGGAAGTCCCATCGGGTTGGTGTAAGTCACTGATCATCCCGATATACAAGAAGGGAGACAAGTCTTCTTGTGATAATCACAGAGGGATTAGCTTGACTAATATAGTATCTAAAATCCTAGGCTCAATAATACTGCGTAGACTAAGTGGTGCTCGGGAGGCACAAACACGAGAAAACCAGGCAGGTTTTAGGCCAGGAAGAGGGTGTATTGACCATATCTTCACCCCTCGACAGATTCTAGAACATAGGCATTCCTACCGGCGTCCGACAATCATTATATTTCTTGACCTAAAGGCGGCATTCGATTCTGTCGACCGAGAGGTTCTCTGGCGATGCTGGGCTGTAAAGGGAATACCGAGAAAATACACTGCACTGATTGAGGCACTCTACTCGTACTCATGCAGCCAGGTGAGGGCTTACGGCGAGTTGTCATCCAAATTGGTGACGAATAGTGGTGTCCGTCAAGGATGCCCATTATCCCCATTCCTATTCAACTTCATCATAGACGTACTAATGGACTTAACCCTAAAACACTTCAGCGACTCAGGGATTGACTTGCTACCAGGGAAGAATCTCGTTGACTTAGAATATGCGGACGATATAGTCCTTCTAGGCGAGGACTCTGACAAAATGCAGAGTCTACTGAACACCCTGAGCAACAATCTCCGCATGTTTGGCATGCGATTCGCCCCTATAAAATGTAAGATGATGCTGCAGGATTGGACTTCATCGACCCCTAGATTAGAAATAGGAAGTGAAGTGGTAGAACACGTTGACCGCTTCACTTACTTGGGAAGTACCATCAGCCCCAACGGGTTGATCTCAGACGAAATCTGAGCACGAATACAGAGGGCTAGGTTCGCATATGCCAGTTTACGCCGTCTCTGGCGTAGACGCGATATCCGACTATCCACCAAAGGGCGTGTGTACTGCTCAACAGTCCGCTCCGTCCTCCTTTATGGCTGTGAGACCTGGCCATTGAGAGCAGAAGACATGAAAAGATTAGCTGTCTTCGATCATAGGTGTCTGCGTTCTATCTCCCGCGTGAAGTGGTATAATAAGGTGAGCAATATTTAGGTTAGGCGTCGAGTGCTAGGTAAGGAGGGGGAATCAATCTACGAGGCTGTGAAGCTACATCGACCGAGATGGTTAGGACATATGTTACGTATGCCTAGTCATCGCCTTCCTCGACGGGCAATGTTAGCTGACATAGGGTCAGGCTGGAAAAGAGCTAGCGGCGGTCAACCGAAAACATGGCACCAGTTAATGAAATCTACAACAGTTAGTCTAGGCCACGTAGGAAGGTGTAGACTTCCTGGTTGGGGTCTTCGGGACGGTAAAAACCAATGGTTGGAAACAATTGGTGACATGGCTCAAAATCGTTCTCACTGGCTGGTGCAGATACATCCACTCCTTGTGACTTATAATATCAAATAAAAGTATCTGGCTCTTCGATATTGCTATTATTTTTGTCTCATATCCCTGTTTACTATCTCTATTTTGCATTTCTCCTACTTTCTTCTTTTGCTTTATGTGCTACATGGAGTTTGGCGAGTTGACCTGCCGCACATATGTGCAAAGTTCTATGTCGAAAACCGACCGACCGACTGATACATCTTTGAACCAGTTAACAACTAGAGATGACCACCCGAAGTCAAGCAGGAAAGGTTTCATCCAACGACTTACACATCTCATTACAATTTCTACCGTAAAACATGAGCACATTCCAGACACAGAATGTGAACACGAACCCATCACATGCTCGATTCTGATCAACTCTAGTCACTCTGTTTAACTAAAATCGTTCTTCAGAGTAATGCATACTCCATAAGGACTGCGGACTCAATAGCTGGATATAACATACTCCCTGGTGGTTCACTGATGGATGCAAAAGTAGGACGCAACAAAAAAATTAGCCAATACCATATATAATCTTCAGTATTTCTTCGAAAAGTACCTTCAGCCTCTAGTTTTACCCTGGTACTAATCATCATAACTTACCTGTACTGAGAATCCTTCTCTTGCAGTTGGGTTTCCAGTTTAAAAAGTTTTTGATGAAGTGACCGAATATTTCTCAACAAGTTTTGCTTGCTACCACGTGCACATTGCATTACATTCAAATCCTATCGTAAGCGAGAAATCTTGGTCACAGTATTTTCTTACCTCTGCAGGATTATTAAGTTTCACAAGCTCACTTTCCTTTTTAGACAAATTTTCTTTAAAAAGACGACATTGAACATTCAGTTCTTTATTCTGTGAAGTCAGCAATGCGATTTTCTACAAAGGAACACAAATTATTTTCCTGTTGTACACAATAACTAGTTTAATGTTAAGACCCAAAAACGCTTGAGCTTCCAAGGTATGAGGGCAGATTACAGAAAACCACAGACTTACGACAGATACCTTCTGGTATATACTTTCCATCGTGACTCCCGTTTACAAAGTTTTTAACTGCTGAAGTGACCTTCAGAGGATATTTGTAAAGTATATCAGAAGCCAGAACGGTAGATTCATTAGTGACCTACCTCAGGCGCAAAACCCTCTAGATAGATTCATAAACTTCTTTACATCACTGTCAATTCCCCATTCTTCCTCTAAAAGGTGATGGAAATGCTCTCCTTTTATACTACTGAAAAGAAACAAGGAGATGTAGCTTCATTTGCTTAACAGATTTCACAATGCTTCCTAACGCTATTAGCTAAGAGTCACTTATACTTAGTGACTATCCAAAATGAAAAAGATGAGAAGAACCAAGCTCCCTTATTCGGTCAGTAGCATTCAAACGTCTAGGTACTTGAATTATAGGTACAAAATACCATAATTTGTGACATTAGGGGGTGAGTATTAACTTTTGGAGCATTTTTTTAGGTCAATATGTTATTGATAACATCACTATCATCACTAAAAGTAAAATAATTAGTGCCAAAAGGTAATGATGAATATGGAGAGATCCAGTATGCACCAAGATGAAAACTCGCCTTCTTTCCAAATACAGATATATGGATTGGGGGGAGAGAACTGTTTTATCATGAACACAGATGCTCTTACAAACACTTTTATCAGTCAAACATCTCTAATTAATAAGAAAGTGTTTGTCGTTTCCAAGTTTTAATTGATGAATTTAAATTATAATTTTACTTCATGAATAAAATTACCTGTAAATTTGAACTAAAACAGTATTTCCGAAGTTCTGATAACTGAGAGGAACCAACTGCACAACAGTTTACCTATCGCTAATTCCAGTTATTAGGAGCCTGTTTTTCTTATCAGTCAAGTGTTAGTGGGTAGTTACAGCATACCAACAGTACAATGAGGCTAGTTATAATAAAACCTTGAAAACTTCAAGACATATCACCAAGAATCTCTATTGCTTTCTGATAGGCAAATGTCGGCATAATACCCTTAGTATGATCGAAATTAAAAGAGCAGAAGCTAAAAGAGGGCTTATAACTACTTTGCGATAAGTACAAAGAAAACGTGAATGCATGTCATCCGATAATTTGATTATCGGTAAAATCTAAGTCTCTGTATGAATTGCAGCAACTTATGCATCCGATTGAAATATCATGTTAAGACATTTAAAATTTTTAGTATTATTTAAACAGTGAGATAAATCCCAAGACCAACAAATAGATATTAAAACCCAATTGAAAAGAGTTTACAAAGTCCAAATCCATAACATACTGAACTGGAAGAAGGAATACCAAATTGTTACCTGCAGCTACCGAGACATTTCGGATCTCCACTATTTCAATTTTTTATCCATACTAATAGCATTAATATGACTAGATTATGGGTCGGTATCCTTTAAAGAATTGAACTTCCACAGCAGATCAAAATAAGCTTCAGTGGATACCACCAGCCACTACTACTACTACTGCCCATCATCTGTATTCATTTGCTCTATCTGTTTCGTATCTAACAGCGACTTATGATTGCTCATATTTTACATATTTGTTAGATTTTACTATTGTCTCGCATATGCAAGCACTTTTAGAGAAATCACCGGGTATGTTTTCCGAAAACTAGTGGTGAACTTCTGCAACATTTTACTCCTCCAGAGGAAAAACTGAAAGTGAAACAAATACAGTCGCGCCTACCTATCAATACTATAGTCTTTCCAACAAGACGAAATTCTGTTACACTATAAATTTTTCATTAAAGGCTTATGTGTTTTTAAAGTGTAATAAATCTTAAAGTCAATGTAGCAGTTCATGCACATATCTGAATAGCGAAAATAGCAAATATGTATGATTGAAAATCACTTTAAGAAAATGGTCAGAAACACCAAATTTCTGCTAAGGGTAAGAAATATATAACAGGTGTTATCCTCAACAACATTTAAATTGGTCACGGTGGAATAAAGCACCTAGTTTTCGACTTATCTAGCTTCATTGAGGTTGTCAAACGCCGATTGGATTTCAATCACTACAACCTACTCGGCTCTAAACCTTGTTTATTTTTTAACACTTGGAAGACTCTATAGGTCAACCATTAATACACTGAGATACTTTACACAGCAGCAATTTCTAAGCAACATGGAAATACGTTTTCGGCATCCCTTTTTACATCTATCGGAATGTTATTATGTACGTTGTTGTATCAAACAATATAAAATCATCCATTTTCGAAACAAAAGTTCTGATATCATTAACAGTAGTTTACTCACATTTGACTGAAGGTCATGTAGTGAAAAATGAAAGTGGTTGAATAAGACTGAGAAAAGAATGTGTCTTCTAAAACTGTAACAAATAAGACATAGATGAAGACAGTGGAAAGGCTACACTGTTCACATTTTAGCACAATAATTCTACAAAAGTATTCTCAGTCTCACAGAAATGAGCAAAGCAAGGTTAAATGATGGTTAGAAATGGCAGGTTTAGCGAAAATGGTGAGAATAGTGATATAATTGCCAAACCCTGATCAGTAAATGGACAGAAAATCTCCACAATCGGGCAGGTGATAACAATGGTTAAATACTGTATAAGTAATGATCAAAATAATAGAATTTCGGTCGAAATGGGGAATTGGTCATAAAAAAAATGTGACCACTCTGTTTTCGCAGAACGTGAGCATAATTTGCTCATTATTCACCTGTTTTTTAATATTTTTCTCCGACTGGGTTCTCTTACAATAGTTTTAAACTAATTCTAACCTGTGCGTCGATAATGCCTTTTCATGGTAAATGGATATTTTATCTAACTAAAATGAACCCACTATGTACTAAAATGACTCTGGTCATTCTTAAAAAGAGCACTGGACACTTAGTTTAGTCAACGAAACCTTAAAAATAGGATTTGCAGGTGAAATAATGCCTTTAATGATGAAATAAAGCTGAAAAAAGTGTTCGGAAGTAATGCCATTCAGTGGTGAATCTGGGCTGAGAGGACTGAAACAGCGCTGATTAGAAAACCCAGTAGGTTCTAAGCCACTTCTGAAAATGCCTAGAAAAAGCACAGTGTGCTGAAAACCAGCACCGAGTTCTAGTCTGTGCGCATAATCAAACCAGCATTGTGCCTTATGCCTTTTATAAAATAATGAGATGTAAGGTTCATTAATGAAGTACTTATTTCTGTAGCTATAATTATGGAGCAGTTCTCCGGCCAACCAATGACGTCGAGAGAGGGTTGGTGACATAATGGATAAGGCCACGAAATCGTACTTTTATAATTTGAAAGATCGTGTCCAAAGGCGTAAACTGAAGAAAGGAATTCAGGTAATATTGCAAAACAACTGCTTACTTTTATAAGTCAACGTTTATTCAACATGTAGTAATCACAACATTGTTTTTAATTCTAGGCAAATGAAAAATGTTGGCCGTTGCTCTAGGAACTTGATTTTTCGTGCTCGGGAACATATTCCACTATGGCTAAGTAAAGGTGTAGTTAAAAGTATTAACAGCTCAATATTAGACCATCTGGTGCAAACCGGTCACAAAGCCAGCGTAGACGAATCCTTCTCCATAATATACCGGGTGCCCAATAAACTACCAAAATCCTCGAAGCACCGCTTACTCCAAACAGCAGAGGCTATTGCAATTCGCCTCAAACAACCAGCGCTCTGTGTCCAAAAGAAACAAGTCCAGCCCCTACTACTGCCCTGGCCCTCAGTAGAGACTAAAAACTCATGAATTTTTACCATTACCTTTCCTAATTATTCTGACATTCAGTTTAATTAATGTTGATGCAGTTCAGCTGTAATTTATCAATATTATTGATTTGATGTTATTTAAACATTAATGTCGTTCATAAGACTAATTCATTCATTCATTATAATGTATATATAATTGTAGAACCTGATGAAGAATTTATCGAAAAGAGTTCTCTTTGTTCAGTGTCTATTCTTTTGAAAATGAAAAAGATACCACGGGATATAACAGTGGCAGTTATGTAAGTAAACTTTTATTAATGTAAATGCTGAAAATGGGATGAGCACAATTTTTCACCAAATAATCTTTTATTTTGCTTATTTACAGGATGCTACCAGTGGATCTCAATTCACAGATTTGCAGTTACATTGTGCTACAGTTTCTAAATACAAAAGTCTCTAAATTATAAAAACTGATTTCTTTCTGCAAACTAAAGGAATTGTGCTGGCGTAGAACACAGGTGATGATAATTAGTAGCAGTCTTTTCGCTCTATATTAATCCTAGTAAGTGCTGAATATGAGCTGAGAGGGCTGGAACAACGCTGATGAGCAAACCCAGTAGGTTCTGATCTACTCCTGAGAATGCCTAGAAAAAGAACACGGTGCTGAATTAGTGCCAGTCAAGCTGAAAAGCAGCACTGAGTTCGAGTCTGTGCCATTGAATAATCACTTTCAGAACAGATTCAGAATTTACTCACTATAGAACGTGAGAATTATTTCAGAATTAGTGAGATTTAATTCAGCACTATAGTAAACTCGGGTTCCAGAACAGTTCCAGAATTAACTCATTGCAGAACGTTAGAGTTAGTTTAGAATTAGCGAAATTTAATTCAGCATTATAGCTATAAAGCTTACTAGTAAGCTTGGGTAAGTTTGACTACATCAACTCACTTTTTTTAAGGATAGAATTTCATCGAAGCAGTCTTCGTGTAAATTAAGAGGCTTATTAATCTTGCTTTTGGTGAGAAATATGTCTTTAGGATAATCATTAGATTCTTTTGTTGAATTAGCAGTATTCATTGGCTTTCCAGAAGAAGCCCTGACAAATGTATTCACAGTACCCCCATGCCCATCACGTTGATTTTGTGATGAAGCACTGCGTAAGGAATTTCTCCATGAAACACAATTTTCCATCAATTTAGGAGCAAACCTTGAGACCTATGGCATTTCCAAGGTTTTATTATACGCGGTATTTATATAGCTCATGGAGAGTAGCTCAACATCCCAAAGCTTCAATGCTCAAAATCCAATGTACTTTAAAACAGCCTGTATAAGCGCTATGGTTTCTTGGTCATCCCGTTCTGTTTTTTCAGAACGATTCCGCATTTGTACTAAGGTCTTCGTCAGGTAGTCAGTTACATAGAAAATATGCGAATTTTTTTCTTAACATATGTACTCATTCATTTCCCTCTAAATGGGGATTCCAATATTCAGTATCCTTTTTACGAGCTAGCAAAATCCCATTTGATTTCTTTGTGCTGGCCTCCTGATAGTGAAGGAAGGTTCCAGATCTTCGGTAAACTTCTGTTTAATTCGTCCCGCCATTCGACTGTCGTATATTTGGTCGGCTCAAAAAGGAGTAATGTTGGGATTAATTATATGCTGGTTGTAGTATGCGTTGTGTTAACACTGTAATTACTGTGAACGGAGTTGATCATTTCACCAGTTACTTCTCTAGTATCGTCGTCAAGGAAAGACAAAAATAACAGTATATATAATTAGGGTAGGTTATTCAGAATATAGGACTGTAAAAGAAATAAAGAAAACGTGAAAACACAGCCAATTATATTTCAAGTTGATATATGTATATGGCATAAGTATTATTAAAAACAATGTGGAGGCAGTATTAGTTGGAGTAGTGAGAAGAGTAAGATTGAAGAGAATGTAAAAAGTAAAGCGGTGAATTTAGTTGTCTACCCGTGAATGGTGTATGGGATTTTTAGGAGACAGGCCATTTGGACGCAGTCCTTGTGTCGCTGCATGATTGCCCAGTCTCCACTTGAAGGTGTCTACAGACGGTGCCACTGCTACATCTGCCGGTAAGGAGTTCCAGGGAAGGAAAATACACCGTGAAAAGAAGTGGGAGCGCATCCCAGTCTCGGCTCTGTGTTGAACTACAATCGTGGAGTGCCACGAGGAAGCCCATACCTACTCGATGGCAGAACACCTATGTTTTGATGATTCTGGCCATTTGTTATCTTGTAAGCAGCAATCAATCCCCCCAAGCCAATGGTAGCTAAGCGAGAATAGGCCTAATTTCATGTGGTTTGCTTCGGCGACCAACCACTCCTTTTGTTGCCCGTATTCGGACTCTTTGCGAGAGGTTTGCGTCTCTTCTAAGCAGTGGGGGTGCAATAATATTATGCACTTCAAGGTGTACTCTGATGTATGTTTTGTACAACCTTAGAAAGAGCTCAGGAGTGAGTGCACCTAACTGTCTATGTGTAAAGTGTATGACCGCATATGCTCTCGCTACGTCCCCTGTGTAATTTACGTTTGTGTCAATGTTTTCCGTTAGAACTAGACCTAAGTCGCGTTCCGACGTTGTGCAGGACGAGCTTTCATTGCACAGAGTGTAACTTGCATTCTGTAGTCTACAGCTGCGTAACTCCAGTACTTTGCACTTTTTCGGGTTGAAAGTCATGCCATTGGCCACGGCCCAATCTTCCAAAATGTTTAGATCTTCCTACAGCCTTTGAGTCCTCCGGACACTTTATCGCCCTCCATATCTTTACGTGGTCAGCGTATAGAAGAGTCGGGCAGCTTAGACGCCATGGTAGATCATTGATAAATATTGTCAGATTTATCTCTAAGGAACAGTAGGCCTGAGTACTTCAACGGTGATTGGATACCAGGAGGAAAACCGAGGGACACATCTGATGCTGCGAAAGTAGACCTCGAACTATACGGACGCAGCAAACTGCGGTCTTGATACGTCTCCAAGCCTCATTGACTATAGAGCGATGTGGTACCGATAATGATAGTCAGTGTAACTCAAGTGGCCCACCCAAATCTAAAGAAAAAGCGACAACAGGTTGGTTTCATCGGGATCGGCCAACTAATACAAATGTTAAGACCTCTACCAGCAGACAGCATAACGTCAACTACCCCACAACACGCTGAGATTGTGAGACCCATTGTCAGCTGCCCTTAAGGCAAGTTTAGAGGGCTGATAGGAAATTAGGTGAACTGAGAAACCTCCAGTCACACCTAGATTTTAAAATAATAATGCTCACTGAAACCTAGCTAACCCCCACTATGGCTGACAACGAAATCAGTATAAATGATATGGTTCTGGTCAGGAGAGATAGGGATAACATGGAAGGGGGAGTTGCTATGTACTTTAACGAGCAGCTTCAATATGTGCGTGTAATGGACCCACCACTTACTGAGTTTCCAAACTCCATATGGTGTCATTTCACCGTAGACCACACAAGGCACTTACTGGGTGGCATTCACTGATCACCCACCTGTGGGGCAGCGCATAACTCCTCAACACCATCACAGGAATGCGGGACTTGGGCTATGACCAAATCACCATAGCTGGAGGTTTCACTGCCCCATCGCTGAACCTTGGCTCAGGGTATGCTGAGGGAAAATTCGGTAGAGATCTACTGCAAACCATTCGAAATACATGACTGACTGAGGATGTTGGAGCCAATACTAGGTGGGGCCCTAGTGGAAAGTCATCGAAAGTAGATTATATTTTAACTGATGACCCGCTACTCATCGAGAAGTTCCAGATCACGACTCTTCTAGGAATTAGTGACCATGCAGCCATAGGATTCGATCTTGTTCTCCGTAAGCACCTACAGTGGGACTTTACGCGGCCATGTCTGTGCTATAACAAGGCTGACTATGCTGAAATGTGGAGGTTTTTATCCGACGCAGGAGGGCCCTTAGCATAAGATGAGCCATCTGTGGATGACCATTGGGAAGTGGTGAGAGCTATCTCGAATGCCGTTCTTTAAGTCAATAGACAGCCGGAAAAGGTCATCATGCCTGAAGAGAGGTACGCAACGTATTCTGCAAGCTAGGCGAAAGGTTTGGTTTACGTGGTGAGCATCCAAGCGTCGGACCGACCACGATGCATGCCTGGAACTCAGGAACCGGTGCAACGGAAGAGTCAGGAGTGACAGGAGGTCATTCCAGGCTAACTTTGCCAAAAACTCCTGGTGAACTCCAAAACCTTGCATCGATTCATGTCGGAATGAAAACCAAACAACCAAGAGGCATGCGCCTTAGTAGGTCAAATGGTCAATACCTCACTAGTCTGGAGGTGGCTGAAACATTCAGTTCAACCTTCGCCAAACAGTTAAACAGCAAGTTGAGTATTATTTGTACGGACCCAAAAGGCGGCACTACTGTTACAACAGAAGGCAATAGTCGGGCAACAGAATGTTTATTATGGAAATCAACATATATTTATAGATTCTCATGAACATTATTAGAGATTATTGTAAGCAGAAAAACACAGTCTTCTGACCGGGTGTTTCTCACTAAGAGTTAATATTTCATCACCGCACAGTTCAATGGTTAGCAGATCTACTTGAACCAATCAGAAAACAAGTTTCCTGCCCCACAGTTCGAGATTCATTCGACTTTATTTACTCAATCGAAAACATTAAAGTATCCAGCAAGACAATGATTTCATTAGGTGTCACATCACTATTCACAAACGTTCCACTGACTGAAACAATATGCTACATATGCGAACTTATTCACTCCAAAGGAATAAACATCGGTATACCCACCGAGCATCTTAAAGAACTCCTACTGAGGTGTACCCTGAATGTTCAATTCTCTTTCAACAACGAAATATATCGCCAAAAGGATGGAATAGCTATGGGCTCACCACTAGGCCCTTTGCTTGCAGATTTCTTCATGGCAAAACTCGAAAACACATGCCTGAAGAAAATGATCAATACCTTCGAAATCTATAAAAGATACGTCGACGACGCCTTCATCATCGTCAACAACGAAGAAAATCTAGACGACATCTTAAAGTCGTTTAACAACTGCCACCCTGCAATTCAGTTCACGATGGAGAAAGAGTCCAACTCCACAATATCTTTTCTTGACGTCCAACTAACCAGAAGAGAACAGGATGGAACACTGAGAAGATCTATCCACAGAAAATCGACGTGGAACGGACAGCTTACTAACTTTCACAGTTGGGTACCACTATACACCAAACGAAACCTGATCCGTTCGCTCAGCTACAGAGTTCGCAGAATTTGCACCCCGGACACCATAGAAGATGAACTGGACAACCTCAAGAGAATCCTCGTCGAGAATTGCTATCCAGAAAGATTTATTGCGAAATCTATGAATCCTAGACCAGAAAAGCCGCCCATACTTAGCGTCAAGAAAAAACTACTCTACATGAACCTCCAATTCAATGGAGATTTATCTGCGGAAACACTGAAAAATCGACTGTCGCGCTCACTTAAGAAGACCTTCTTCGCAGCTGAACTGCGACTAACCTTCTCCACAAAACCTATGATTCATGTGAACGTGAAGGATAAGCTACCGCTGCTGGCCTCATCAATGTGCATTTATCAATTCACCTGCTCGTGTGGAGCCAGGTATGTCGGCCGTACACAGCGCTCGCTTTCCAAACGTATCACCGAGCACTTACCAGCATGGTTTTACAAAGGAGAAAATCGATGCCCCCGCAGTTCCATCTTAGAACATCTGATAGAATCCGGACACCAAGCTACACCGCAAACAAACTTCAAAGTCGTCTACAGAGTAAGAAGTAATCTCCCTAAAGGTGTGCGAATCAGACTTCTTCAAACTGCAGAAGCAATGGCGATTCACTTGCTAAGTCCTGAACTCTGCATACAGAAGAAGTTCGTTCAATCACTACACTTGCAATGGACGTAATCTATCTTATTAGCCGACATGTAAATTCTACCTAATCTTTTCTTCTGTCTCTTCATTAGTATTATTTTGTCTTCTCAATTGTGACATTTTACATTTCCAACTTTCTTGTTCTCTACCCCCACCCGATTCAATCTCTACACCCCACTACCACTGTTACTGACTTGAACAACGCTCAGTTTCTAGTCATTCATGTTACGTCATCCAACTTATTCACTCAATTTCACTTCTACCTAATCTCTACCTGTAATTACCTCTGTTGCTATCCTGACCTAAGTTGTAATATTTTAGCCAATTATATTACGTCATCTGGTTTTTAACTCAGTCTTACTTTAG